TGCGGATCTTAGTCAGCAAGGTGATGTCTCTGCTTTTTAATATGCTATCTAGGTTTGCCATAGCTTTCCTCCCAATATCTAGTGATAACTATAATTTAAAACTTTTCAGAGAGCAAGCTCAGTAAAAGCAATTTAAATTAACATAACAGCATAATGTTAAATTTAGTTGTAGATGTAAATAACAAAGTGCCTGGAAAACATTTAAGAAATGAATGGAGAGGGTTCCATGGATGAAGCTTTAGAAAAAGTAGTGAATGTCATCACTATCCATAATAATCAGATGATAACATTTTGGGCAGATCATTGATGATATTCTTAGCAATCAAGCCCAGAGCTACCTTTGTCATTAGGCAAAGTGAAACAGTTTATTACCAAAACTGCGGATTTTGGTTTCCTGAATGGACAATATGCTTAATACATGTAAGTGTTTTTCTTGACAGATTTAGAGGTATTTGTGAGGATCTTTTGCTTTAGAGTCAAAATGATATGGCAGACAACACTTGGAAAGCCACAAGCTAGTAGCAAAATGACTTGGATTGTGACTTTGACTAGGTGGATTCATTGATTGAGGCCATATCGACTCTTAGCAAGCACATACATGGGTTTTCTCCATGATGATCTGTCCCTAACCTGGTTCTTCAGGTCTTCCAGTGGCACACTCATCGCCACTGTAACTGAATCCATCCACATGCTGCTGGTCATCCTCTTCTCTTCTCCCCACCTTTCCCAGCATTAGAGCCTTTTCTAGGAGCTAAGTCTTTGCATAATGTGTCTGAAGTAGGATAATTTGAGCCTGCACATTTGAGCCTTAAATGAGAACTCTGGATTGATTTGTTTGATTTCTTGGCTTTCTCCATTCATTTGTTTGTTTTCTTGGCTGTCCACAGTCTTCTCCAACACTGAAGCTCAAAAGCATCAATATTCTTCCTATCTTGCTTCTTCAAAGTCTAACTTTAATTTCCATAGAGTGTCACAGGGAGTACCACTGCATGCAGTTTTCATCTTTGTAGCTATAGACACATGATGGCATTTGAGTATCTTTTTCAAGGCCTTCATGGCTGCTCTATAAGGTGCTAGTCTGCAGCTTATTTCTTGACTGCTTGTTCCTTTACTGTTGTTGGTTGATCCAGTGAGTTCATTAAGGCCTACTTAATGGCAAAAGATATATAGCTCCAGCATCTACTTAAGAATAATTAAATATTGTATGTAATCAATATTTTTCCTGCTTATATAACCAGTCTGCAGCAAACCACAGTAACACCAGGAATGTGATGTCATTGCATGACTTAAATAGTGTCAGATATCGAGGCACAAATATATAATGGTGGCATGTATGATGACATCAAATACATCATGCTAGCATCACTGCAGTTTGCTGTAGACATCACTGGCAGTATAAACTCCAAATACATTAATTGCATAAAGGATTTAAATAGATTCTGGAGCTACAGATCTTTTGCTATTAAGCAGGCAGTTCCTTATGTCAGATGTTCTCCCAATACTAATGACAGATTAACAGTTTCATTCTGTAACTTTACCAGGTATCCTGCCTTCTGTAGCTTTCATCATTTAATTTCATAGTACTAAACTAATTTTCTTACATTTTTAGAAACCAAAAGCACACCTATTTATTATATTAATTTCAAATTTCACCAAAATTTGAATGCTTAGAATTTAGATGAAGGAATGCTTTCTTCTTTTTTAAGACTTGAAGTTTCAATAATAAAAGGTGTTGAGAAAATAGTGTCTTTTAAAAGTATTAAGATCTTGAAATCTTAAACAGTTCTTATTGCTCAGAAAATATAGCATATAATAATTTCTTGCAAAACATTTTTCTTTTGTATAAGCATATTTTAAGGACATAATTGGGAGTGTATTTTTAAAATAATTGTTAAAATGATTTAAGAGTCCCTGCTTTATATAGAAAAACTCACCAGCTAGAAATTCTGGAAGATGCAGCCAAACACATTAGGAGGGCTTTACAAATTTAAAGGATTTAATTATTTATGGTATCTACAGTAGAGAATTAAAGACAGCCAAATCCTTTGTCCCATTTTAGGCAAGTAGCTGAAAAAAGGATTAAAATGAATTATTATGTTTTCTTTAAAAAATATAAAAGCAGATTGTGTGCAAGGTTTTGAATTCTAAAGTTAATTAGTTTATATTTAAAACAAAGTGAGCTGGGAAGATGGAGGTGGAAGGAATGCTAATTATCTTGGTCCTGAGAATAAATATTTTGAGGTACATAAATAATGAGAGACTAATAAATGGCCATTAATTGCATGATCTATTTCAGCCCAAATTTCAGAGTAAAAAAAACCAAAAGTAAACCTAAACTAGGAAAGAAAGTTAGGAAGTTAAGATGACTGTAGGGAATCAGCTATTTCTAGAGCATTGCAAAAACTATTTTGTTGGGGAAAAATATTTTAAGATCTTAATTTAGGGAAAAAATTATAAGGTCAGAATGGATGGGGAAATCAAGGGCACTAGTGAATTTGCTAATAAGCAACTTGTAAAATGTACGGAGTGATGGGGCCAAGTGTACCTCCCAGAACATTGTAGAGCATGGTAATGACCACAGTGGTCTGTCACCTAGCTTATGCCCCATGAACCTCACAAGATTGGGGGGGGGCTCTCAATATTGTCTCCATAGATGTTTGGATCATAGGCACTTTGACAAATAATGCCTGATAGTTGGGTTATGAACTGTTGTATAAGCTTGGCTGCCAGATATTCATACCAGGTAATATATACTTTTCTCATGTTGTGGGCAAAATTCTGATAGGATTTGGGCATCTTCTGTCATAAAGTCCTTAGTTTTTTCTGGCACATTCTGGTGTCAGTCGAAGTTGGGATTTCATTCTGCTCTTTCAAAAAAATCAGAATGAATCCTTTTTTAAAATTTTCTATCTGAAGAATAGAGGGGCTGGGTTATTGGTCTGTGTATATAATAGAAAGTATTTCTCTCTTCAGAAGATGTGGATTCTATGCTCGGCAAGCAACCTGGAACCTTGTGTATATGTGTCATGAAGGGCTACATTCACAACACATGCCTTTCATGAGCAATACAGGGATTTTTAGGGCCTTTCCCCACACCTAATCATGGCACAAGCATGCCTTTATAGAATCTGTCTTGTTTTTTACCCTTTCCCCATGATACTGCTGTCATCTTGTTTCCAGCCTGTGTGAAACAGGCTTAAGCTGTGCTTAGTTGTGCTGTCATGAAAGCTTTGTGGGTTCATGGGACAATGCAACTCACAGAACGCAACACACATTCTTGTAATGTTGTTTCCTTTTATTGGTGACAACAAGCAAAGTTAAGCACTTAGTTGTGTTTTCAGGCATTGAAAATAACTCAGGCACCAAGTCTTTTCCCCATCTTTTCTGATAAGCAACAGGAAAAGCAATAAACAGGTTTGATTTATGTTTAACTAGCCAAGAGTTTAAAAGTTAACTGTCTCTCTACTGGATATGCAAATGAGCTCAGTACTACCTCAAGGTATACATATGCATGGCTATTTATATAGTCTATAGTCCTACTTCCTACTTAAGAGATAAACAAGGGGCAGTTATACTGGCTGTCTTTCTCTCTCTTAGGCTGGCATTTTCTCCTTCTGGCTCACCAAATGTGACCTTCCTCCTTTTTCTTCTTCAGGTTTCCAGTGAAAGCCACCTGTGATAAGTAGAACCATCCCTCACTGTGCATATTCTTCCTTCAGTGGGCCTTTTTCCACAATCCTCACTGACTTCAATAGTCCCTGGATTCTCCTGGAACCAAGAGTAGGCCTTCAACTATCAACATTGTCTAGAATCCAGTTTGGTCTACCAACCATTACATCTCCACCCTTCCTAGTCTCCAGAAGTCTTTCCTTTTAAAATCTTCAGTTTTTGCCTACTTTTTGCTAGCACAGCAGCAGCTGTCCTCTGTGAAAGGAAAAAAATCTGATCTCTCTATTCTCAGGATCTGCTGTCAGTGAAAAAAAACAACATAGCAGAAAGCCATGGGTGACTGCATGCTATCACATGTATGCATGTTAAAATTATGTTTTCTCCGCTAAGACAAATGAATCCAAAGACAAGGAGTGTAAAATTTGTTACATATTACATCAGAATATAGGAAATACAGGAATCAACAATGGGGTTATTTTACATTAATTATGAATTAATATATTAGTAATTAATATTGATTATTAATAATTAATATAATTACATATGAATATGATGTAAATATAGTTATATATTAATTATATTATATACGTATATAATAATGTTATTAATTAGTTAATTGCTATTGCTAATATTGTTTTCTGCCAGCTCAAGGATGGTGGAAAAAGGCCCTAGAATCTAGCATATTTAAAACCAAAATGATGATAAGACTTCTTTAACAGGGAAAGCAAACTAGCAGAAGTTTTTACCACATTATTCTCTGTTTACATGGAGATATGTGAATGTGTCAATAGATGTTGCAGCTGATGAATGTACTATGTTTTAACTAAGTAGGTACTGTAACTCGTAGTCTGCAAATTGCACAACACTGTTTGCAACCAGAGGAGACTCTGGGGGCATCACCTACTTTTCCCAGAGGGTGGTGGGAAACAAATGGCTGTTTTCCTTCTGCTAATGGCAGCAAGGAAAAGACAAGAATGGCATTAGTATTCATATCAGCTGGGAAGGACAAATGTGATTTTTTTCTGGATATCAACAAACTTGCTGGATTGCTGCATCTCCTTTTCTGACGATGGCACTGACAACAGCAGTTACCTGAAACAGGATTACTAGAAAAGAGGGGATGATATTTCCCTTCCTTCTATTGATTTTTGTTTGTATTCTGCCTATGTGAATTATATGTTTGTGGTTTATAACCTGGAAATTAGGTCCATTTTGAAGCTGAAAACCTTGTTGCAATTTTTTTTTAATGTAAACAATAAGAAACTCACAAACATTTAGACTCTGACTCCCTTGAAGCCCAGCAGGGCATTTGCAGCACTCTGAAAAAGATCTGGACCAAAATTAATTCCCGAGCACGAGTGTTACAGTAATGTCATTAAAAAAACAATCAAAGATTTCTATGTACTGTATGTACAAAAAGCCAGTATTTCAAAGCTTCTCTGAAAAAGTTGCTCTTTTTTGCCTGATGGATGAGGTGAGGCTGATTTTCCCTTTACTGTAGTCTCCTGAGTAACAATAGAAGAATGGGTGACTGCACATAGACACATATTCATAGCACTGTGAAACAGCAGCATAGAAATATTCTATTATGAAAGACTAGCAAATCTGCAAACAGCAATGGCTTCAGATACCTTTAACAAGTATCTAGTGATTTCTGTGCCTTTATACGTATAAAAATCTTTGTTGGAATGCCTTGATGGCCTTAGTTGCTATCAAGGAAAATTATGTTGTTTACCAAGAATAATGAATTTTAAAAAGCCCTTTAAGAGAAAGGATGTCCTTTTCAATGAGTACAACAGAATAGCATAGTGGTTTAATAATAAAAGTTGGAAGAAAATTTTAAGTGTTCTAAAGTTTTTTAAAAGTGTGAAAAAACAGTTTTATACATTTTCAAAGGTAGACATCATAAAAACCATACAGAATGAAGACCAGGTAATAGTGTCTGTTAAATAGGACAACAGTAGTACTGTATGTCAACAGTCATATAGTAAAATAATGCTAAAGCATAAAAAAGATGGACTTCACAGAATCACTACCACAAGTATCACACAAATCACTAAACCCAAGTTACCAAAATATGATTGCTGTTTACATATTTTATTTATTTGTTTGTTGAGTTGGGTGGATTTATAAGACCAAATATATCTTATTCAAAAAAACAAACCATAAACCAAAAAAAAGAACATGTTAAAACATACACAATATATAAATATGAATATGAAATTCAGAATATAAAATAGCAACCAGCACCATAATAAAAACAGCCAAAAGGGGACACCATTCAACTGGCCCCAAATGTTTGGGGGGAAAGCCAGGTGTTAATAGGTTTCCTAAAGGTGAACAGAGTTGGGGGCTGGGGTATATTGAGAGGGATATTGTTCCAGAGAACAGAAGCAGCCACTGAAAGGCACACTTCCTAGGTCCCATAAGGTGACAAGATCTAAAAGAGGGAGCCTGGAGCATGCTCTCCTTGTGGGAGCAAATGGGGCAGGCAGATGTTCTTGGGGGAAGGTGGTCCCACAAGTAACCAGGTCCTATGCCATGTAGGGCTTTTAACCAGCATAATCACACATATAACCTGTTATGCAAAAACAATGTCTTATTATGGCCTAATATGATAGCCTCATTCATACAATATGCAAAAATAGTTACTGGATTCACAGAAAAGGCTGACCCTCATCCTACCCAATTATATTTTAGCCCAGACTAGTATGTTGTGCAAAGCAGCCTCTCTGAATTTTCTTTTTCATTATGCTATGGGTGCAAAAAGGGGTGAAACAGGCAGAAAAGCAATGAGTGAGGATATGCTTCTGCTCACTCCATCAGTAATGGTTGAGAACCAGTTTAGATTTTTTTCCTCATTTTAAAACCTAAGCGCTCTTGTTCGCAAAGGAGGCTGGGTTTAACCAAGATGGCTGTTGCTATCTAATGAGAGCCCCAGGTTCTTTCAGTGATCAGTAATCACCTGCCAGACTCAAGTTTAGCATAAATTGGTTGTTTTATGGAAATGGAACCATAGTGATTTGTGTGATACTTTTCAGATTTTATTGCATTTGTTCTTGTAACTTGGTTTATTCTTTTTATCTTAGCCACTTTGGATACATGTCAGAATTCCCAGACAAAACCTTTTTTTTTTTAATCCCCACTTGTGTATGAACTGGCATTGATGTTTTGTAGGCTGCAGATGCTTGGGTGTTGTACACTGAACTAGAATTCATTCTTTTTTAGAGTGATAGATTAATAGAATTGATGCATGTGCCTCTTTTAGCCAGCCCCTTCTTTCCCCTTAATACAGATTTCAGATAACTTGCACATTGAACACTGTGTGGAGGAAGACAACTGTCTGAGCATATGGGAAGCACACACATTTAATTCACTTTATATTCACTTTTCTCCCTGTATGTAACATACTTACAGAAACCCATCATAGACCCAGTGCTACGGTGGGCTGCATTCGTTACCTTAAGCTAAGTTGTTCTTGGCAATATTTGGTTGTGAATAGTTCCTGGGATCAACACAGGAATGCATGGGTTCCTCCATGATGAGAGGCAAGGGCACTCTGCCTATGTTCGGAGAGACATTATCATGCACTTTAAAAATTCCACCCTAACAAGCAAGATAGACTGAAGCCGTAGCTTCAGGTAGGTAGTGGGCAGGTAGCAGCCTTTTGAGGACGTTTCGCTAGAGCGAATCGGAGAACGAAGCGGCCTCTGTTATTTTTCCGAATAGCGGAGAGAACCTCAGCTGAGGCCCAGAGAGGGCGCAACCCAGGGCGGAACCGCACCCTGCTTGCTCTCTCGGCGGCCGTAGTGCTCAAGAGGACGCGAAGGGGGTGGGTGCGATGAGGTAGAGAATGGCCGCGCATGCGCAGTAGCGAACCTAAGCGGCCGCGGTGATGGCTGCGCAGTGACGGTTGGATCTAACGGTTGCTATTGACATTGGAGCTGGGCGTGTGGTGGATGGCTCTTGCGCGGAGGGCGGCTGGGAGCAGCGAAGCCGTTAGCTCTGCGGAAGAGACGCAGGGAACCCCGTGGTAATGTGGACGCGCTGAAACTCTAGGCGGAGGAGCCTCCCCCGCCCCTATCAGAGCCGGGCCCAGGCCGTCGCCCTGCGCTGGGCTCGCGGATCCTGCCACCGCCCCCCGATGCGGGGCCTCCCCTCTGCCTGAGGCGCCCTGGGAGGGCGAGGGAGCAAGGCGGGAATGGCGGGCCGCCTGGAGTAGTCCCTGGACAG